AAAACAGCTGGAGGCAGGTGATTCATAAGCTCAGTGTGGACAAACTCTGCCTGAGGATGCCATGGTGAATGGTATTTAAATACAGTGTCTCATTACCTTACTACGACAGAACTAAAATGCCCACACTCATTCTCTGGGCTAGGACTCTTCATGAAGTACACTTCTAGAGAGGACTTCAGTGCTGCATTTCCTGGGAAGCCATCATTTGCTCAACCTCTTCATTTTGATGTGCTAACAGCCCCTAATGAAGACCATAAGTATCCAGTCAATAAACAAAGTATAACTTAGCCTATCTTTGAGAAGTGCCAGGTTTTGAAAATTAGCCTAGGAAAGCATACCATGGAAGTAGAGACAATATTTATTTATCTGCCTGACTTATCATAGGCCAGATACTTTGCTAAACTGTGAGGATTAAGAAATGAAAAGGTATGGAACTTCACTCCCGAGGCAATCATGATGCAGTAAAGAAGACACAAGAAAACAGAGACTTGCACTCCAGGCTAGTAAGTGAAATAATAGAATGGTGTATAAGCAGTGCTGGCATAAATATATAAATGAAAACTTCATAGAGGTGGTAAGGAGTGAATTGGATCTCTAAGGGTGAGTGAGAGTTCTCCAGGGGCAATTTCAGACAGAGGAAATTTCCTAGGAACACTCACTTAGGCCTACCAACTTGATATTTATTCTCAAGACCCCATGAAGCCAGTTAGTTATTGAAGACCTTAAGGCAATATCATAATGGTTAAAGAGAAGACTCCAGACCCAACTGCCTAAATTTGGACTAGTACCAATTGTTAGCTAAGTGATCCTGTGTAAACTATATCTCTGAGCCTCAGTTTCCTCATCTGTAAAATGGGTGTAATAACAGTAACTTCCTTGTAGATGCTTGTGAAGATTAAATGTTAGAGATAATCCACATCAATTGTTTAAGGCCAATGCGTGGCATGTGGTAAGTGTTCAGTATATGTTATCTCTGTGGTTTCATTTATCCCTCCCATATCCAAATATCTCCATTATTTGCCTGTCACAGTGTCTGCTACTAGAATTGACAGGGTGTTAAGCAACAGAGACCAATTATCTCCCAAGCAAAGTGTCATTAGCTCATTGGCCCAGATATAGTCAGAGATGGCCCGATCACTTAGTGATACTTGCCACGGTATGGGAGGAGGAGTGGGGGCATATATGCTTCTTAGTTGTCATCCTTTTCTGTAGACCTCTAGAAGGTGAGGCCCAGAATAAAAAAGTCTCAACAGTGTGGGTGTCAGAGGAAGGATGCTGAGATGGCCAGGGAAGAGGGAAGTCTGGACAGTGGGTACTGTATTTAGAAGGCAAAGCACTGGAAGAAGCAGGGCAGGCAAGAAGGGCTCATGAGGCTGAATTGGGAGGGATGTAAGGCAAAAGGATGGCATTCAGAAAGCCAGATCTACCAGTTTTAGAAGGATTTACAAGCTAGGGTGGTGGCACCAAGGAAGGAATTATTGATTTGTTCATGGATGATACGAACAGCAGTTCAACAGAAGTATCAGAAGTATCAGGTGGTGTGATGCTTCATCCATGTATTTACTGAGCTCCTCCTGGACTCCAGAAGGGACCATGGCAGGCCTTTCACCACGCCTTTAGTCTACTTGGGGTAAGGGGGAGGAGTGGTGGGGAACAGATTATAAACAAATAAGTATGTAACAGGTCAGATGTTATAAGTACTCTAAGGAAAAAGGAAGCAGTGTAAGAGAGAGAGTCATAGAATGGTGGGAGGGTTCAATTCTGGGAGACAGTTCAGGAAAAGCCTCTCTGATGAGGTAACTTGTGAGCAGAGACCTGGGTGAAGTGAGGATGTGAGCTATGCTGACATCTAGGGGAAGAATATTCCAGGCAGAAGGACTATAAGGGTAATTGTGGTGGCCAGCCTTCAAGATGGCCTTGAAGAGTCTTGCCTCCCAGTATCCATGTGTCAGTGTAGTGTCTTTCCACATTGAATAGAGCTGACATGTATAACCAATAGAACATTGTGGAAATAGAATGTAACTTCCAGCGCTAGGTCATAAAAGCACTGCAGCTTCCTCCTTGTTCTTTCTTTGATTACTCACTCTGGGGGTAGCCAGTTGCCATGTCATGGGGACACTCTATGGAGGGGTCCACATGGTGAGGAACTGGGGCCTCCTACCAACAGCCAGTACCAACTTGGCAAACATACGTGTGAGCAATCTTGGAATCCATCCTCAAGCCTTCCAAGACTACATCCCTGGTTTATAGCTTGACTACAACCTCATGAGAGATCCGCATGCTAGAACCATCCAGCTAAGCTACTTTTGCATTCCTGACCCACTGAAACTATATGAAATAATAAATGTTGGTTGCAGTTTAAGCCACTAAATCTTGGAGTAATTTGTTATACAGATAGCAAGTATAATAGCGAGAAAAAGTTTCAGCAGATTTTCTAAGACAAGGAGTCTGCATTTAGATATCATCTAGGACCTGCCCAATGGAGTAGCTGGAGAAGCAGAGCAGAGATAGAGGGCCCCATGTCGCTTGTTTTATGTGTTTCCATGGCTTTTCTTTCTTTTTTTTGCAGAGGAAGATTCTCCCTGAGCTAACATCTGTTGCCAATCTTCCTCTTTTTGCTTGAGGAAGATTCACCATGAGCTAACATCTGCCAATCTCCTTCTATTTTGTATGTGGGTCGCTGCCACAGCATGGCTGCTGATGAGTGGGGTAGGTCTGCACCCAGGAAACGAATCTGGGCTGCTAAAGCGGAGCATGCCAAAGTTAACCACAAGGCCACGGGGCCAGCCCCTCCATGGCTTTTCTTATGCTCTCCCATCATACACCCTCCTCCCCCCTGTCATCACACCTGGTTTAGCTTAAGGCCTAAGCTAAGGTCCTGCCTCACCTCTGGTCCTACCTCCTGCACTAATCATTAAACATTTCTCTTGTTAGTGAATTCATGGAGGAGGAAGTGAGGGGAACATAAATTTACTGGGTTCATGTTATATGCATAGCCCTTTACATGTCATCTAATACAACCTCGTACAACCCTAGGAGGCAGGTATTATTATCTACTTTTTATAGATAGAAAAAAAACGAAACTCAGAATGATTATATAGTTTATCCTAGGACACATAGCAAAGTGATCATTTGAATTCAAATCTACTGAATTTTAAGCTTCAGCTTTTAAATTTTCTTTTTTCACTGCACAAAACATTGATTATGGTAAATTTGGGAAGTTTAGGAATGCATGCACACAAATTATTAGTAATTCCACAATTTGGAGGTAACCATGCTAACATTTTGGATTAGATATGTCTAGTTTCTTTCTTAAGCATTTTTTAAAAATTTACAAAATTAGATTAGATGCCACAAACTTTTTAAAACTGTTTTTCATCCTCTACTATACTCTAAATGCTTTTTTGTGTTGTTAATACTCCTCTACAGGAAATTTTTTATGGTTGTAAATACATTTCATGTTTTGATTGTACCATAATGTATTTAATGAGATTTTATTATTGTACTTTGTGTTGTTTCCAAATTTTCTCTATCTTAAAGGATCATGGAATAAGTGTACTTGAAGATAAATGTTTGTGCACATCCATGATTATTAGGATAAATTTTTAGTATCACCTGTAGTAGTATCACTTGTAAAATTTAAATTAAAATCTAATTTGTTAAATTTAGGGCAAAAACATCGGTATGCTTTTGACGCACATCACCAAATTGTTCTCCAGAGAAGTTGTACCAAATCTCCTCCTACGAGCAATGCACAAAGATGCCCATTTCTCCGCACATTCATCAGCATTAAAATTAGTGTTAGAATTTTAAAAATCCTTGTTAGTTCTTTTATTTTGAATTAATGTGGGATTCTGTTGATGAGTCACTAAAAGCTATCCAAGGAAAGCTTGGTGCAAAACACTCACATGCTCATTAAAAACGTTCACGAGGTTCTTGAATACCCAAGGACTCATATGTAATGCATTTGTCCAGGCACCGTATTGGTGAAGAACAGACAAACAGGAGATACTTGCCTCCAAATACTAGTTTATAACAATCGAGGGAGACGTGGCTCAGGAGCGGTATCACCACTGTTCTCCTATTATTGCTACCATTCCGGGTGGTGACAGTGCTAGAGGTGAGGTCATAAATATCCAATCCAATCCAACATGGGGTTGCATGATTGCAAATTTCGTGCAAGGTTTAGGGCAAGCCTTTGAAGCTGCAGGGAGCCAATCCACGGTTACACGATTTTCAAATCTACGTTAATGCAAGATGTGCCACCTCAGTGTCTCGATGTGGTGTCACGTACTGTGTGAGGCACTGTATTAGGGCCTTCACAACAGCATCCTGACATGGGCATAACCCTTGTGTCACTGTTGAGGTCGCTGAGGTCCAGGGTCACATAGCAAGTGAGTGAGTGGCCAAACCTGAGACTTGAATCCAACAAGTCTGACCCAATGCTTGTGTTTTGCCTTCACCTGGTTTTACATGTTACCCTACAATGTTGTTGAAGACCACCCCACCTGGTATGGCTGGCTCAGTGCCTCCTTCTCTTCGGTTTGCACTGCACTCGGCACCTAAAACTAGGACAACATCAAAGCCGCTAAGTGATATTGCGTGTCTGAACGCTGGTCTCCACACTAGTCTGTGCACTCCTGGAAAGTGAGAATGGTACTTCACTCATCTGTGTGCACTGTGTGGTATTATAATAGGTTTTCATTAAATGTTGCCAACTAACAAAAGGAAAGTAGGGAAGGAGAGGGGGAGGGAGGGAGGGAGGGAGGGATGACGGAAGGAATGATGGACTTGAATCTGGTCCAATAATTTGCCCCAGGGCCCTGAAGACCACTGTGATACCATGTGTTAACTCTCCCAGGTAATGGCCTGTAAGAAGCAGACACTCGATCTGCAGTTACGAATTAATAGTGGTGGCAGAGTCGAGTCACGTGAGTCTCCAGGAAAGACTGGCCTACACCTGGTGGGGAGCGACTCCATCTCTGGGTAGAGGAAGACACTTCCTGGGGTCTGGAGTTTTGCAGTGGATTGCAGGGGCTCCTGGTGACTTTGTGACAGTTGGCAGTGGCCCTGTGCCCTCTGAGGAGTGATGGGCCCTCCTCATGGGATGCTTCCTGAGTGCCTCCTACCTTAATCTTCAGGGTGTGCCTGCTTTTCACTTCCCATCCGAAGCACGCTGGGGCCACGGCTCGTCTTACTTCCATGTCTCTGATGAAAAGATATTTTGGAAAAGGCATTTTCACTTAAGAAAATCCTTTTTATGCAGCAGCAGATCTTAACTTAATGTTCAAGGTGTCATCCTTTCAAACTTTCTCTTTTTAAAAACGAAAAAAAAAAGAACATTCTGCACAACAATGTGCCAGAACATTACAGCTTTGTTGCTTTTTTTTTTTGAGAAATGCTTACAGAACAGATCCTGCTGAAGAAGCCAGTGAGAGAACATTCTCTCCTCTGGTGTGATTTAGTACAATAATTATTACTAATCACAGCAATAATGAACCACATTCACTTCAAGTCATAAAAATTAAATAATAGCCATCATAAGACTCTGCAAGGGTGTGCTGCTTTTGTAATTCTCAGAGCATGCTCACAAACATGATCTCATTGGATTTCCACAGCAGCCAGGTGAGACAGGGAAGTGTTGGGGAAATTGGTCCCATTTTCAGGCGCTATGGAAAGAGGTCAAGCGTCTTGCTCAAGATCACACAGCATATTAACAGCTGATGGAGAGGAAGAGTCTGGGCCCCAGCCTTAACAGCCCTGCATCTTTTCCAGAATAGGGAAACCTGTTTTGGGACAACCTGACATGACTGCCCCTGTGCCTGGCTGTGAAATTCTAAGGTTGGTTCTCTGAATTTTTCTCTCTTGCTGATGCCACCAACAATGGCAAAAGCATGGCTCTGAAGCACTCTCCCATTACGTCTAGCCCTCCTAGACTTTACCATGAAGACTTGGAGGTCATGGGCTGCCAGGCCAGTGGGAGGCATGTTTTCATGTATGGGCGAGTTTAACAGACAGCTCAACCTCAGATTTAGTGAGAACACACCACCTTCTCCACTGGCCATAGGACAGAACTAGGCTGTTTACTGATGCAATTAGGGCTTGAGCTCTGGCGACAGCAAACCTGGCTTTAATTCCAGGCTCTGATTCTTACTGGTGTATGACCTTGGGCAAGGTACCTCTCTCAGCCTGTTTCCCATGTAAAATTTGTTTGATAATAGAATGCATTGCATATATGGTTTTGATAATGATATGAGATACAAAACACTCAGAGCATAGTAAGCACTCAATGCATCTTAGCCATTGTGATGATTAATATCATTATCATCAGTGGTATGGAAATTCATTTAGACCCCCATTTGTGTCTTTGGCCTCGGTCATTTGGGCCCCAAAGATGGCAAAACACTGATGCCACCACAAAATCATAAAGCCTCCAAAGCATGAAACTGAGTGAGCTTTCCAGAACAAGCAGCCCAGTGTTTGGTATTCTATTAGTTTCCTACAGCTGCTGTAACAAATTACCACAAACTTTGTGGCTTAAAACACCACAGATTTGGTATCTTCCTGTTCTATAGGTCAGGAATCTGATGTGGGTCTCAATCGGCTGAAGTACAGGTGTCAGCAGGGCTGTATGCTTTCCCGGAGGCTCCAGGGAGAATCGGTTTCCCTGTCTTTTCCAGCTTCTAGAGGCTCCTGCATTCCCTGGCTCCCGGCCACCTGCCTCGCTCGCCAATCCCAGCAACAGTAGGTGGAGTCCCTCTCATATCGCATCACTCTGACCTCTTTTATCCCCTTCTTCCATCTAAGGACCCTTGTGATTACACCGGGCCCACTTGGATAGCCCAAGATAATTTGCCTATCTTTAAGTCAGCTGATTAGACACTTTAATTCAATCTGCTCCCTGAATTCCCTCAGTTCTGTGGACATTTGGACATGGACATTTGGGGGGGCATTATTCTGTCTCCACAGATACACAAGCTCTGCTCACTGAGTCAAAGCCCGGAAGCAGAGACCAGCACTTGGGAGCCATGCAAAGGGGAGAGAGTGAGGAAGGTCGGTGGACTGGGCAAGCTGGTCCACAGCCCAGGATTGTCATAGCTACTGTTTATTGCTGACTATCTGCCGGACACTTTACATATATATTCCCTTTAATCCACACAACTGTATAAAGTGGATATTATTAGCCTCATTTTACACAAGGAAGCTGAGACTGGGAGGAATTAATTCGTCCAAGGTCACCCAATGGGGCTAGTGTTTGCACTTAGGCTTGACTCCCAAAGCCTATAAAGGTGTTTCTCAAAGAATGTTCTGTGCATCTGCATCAGAATCCACCCGGGACTTGTCAAAATGCAGATTGCTGAACTCCATCCTTCATCCCAACATTTAGAATAGATCCGAGGACTCTGCATTTAACAGACTCCCAGGGAGGGCAGGTGATTCTAACATTCACTGAATCATAAAAACGACTCCTCTAAAGCACACAGCCTTGTGGTGAGCATGGCTCCAGGAGGCAGACATTGTCCAGAGTTCCAGGATAAAGAGACAGGGCAAGGAGTACATCAGTAGCGGGGAAATAAGAAGATCCCAGGAAGTGTCCCCTGATGGTCGGCCTGGGCCAGGCCAGGAATAAAAAATAAGATAGAGACCGAAGCCTAGCCTAGTTTCTCAGGTGCTGCCACCATGGAATTAGAGGGCTGGCCTGGAGTTCACACAGGACATTTATGACCAGCTTTTGAGCTGCTGAGAGGGAGGGAGGGATCCATGTGATATTGCTGGAAAACGGAGACATACTGAGTGTGGAATACTTACTCCCTTCCCTGGTGTGGAAAGCCGTGGGGTACAGGTGGCTCCTAGGACCCTGCTTACTGCTGAGGAATGTGCAGGATCCCAGGACACTGGGCCCCTCCCTGCCCACCATGCTTCACTCCCATCTGACCCAGCGCCTCTTCTCCAGGGGTCAGGCAGAGGCTGTGAAGGAGGGATGGGGACCCAGGCTGAGTCATCCTTCCCTTGGAGGAGAGTTGGGATGACGTCATGCCAAATGAGTACCTCCCTCACAGATTTGTTCTCACAGGGGGAGGTAGTGTCTTCACCTTGGGCAGGTTCATTTGCACAAGGTGTTTATGGGGTTCTTGCAGCAAGCTCGGCTTCTCGTTAACTGAGGTGGACGCTGGTCCCACAGTCTCACCTGTCTCCCTGTCAAGTAATCCCTGCTTTCTCCATTAACCTTCAAATGTCTCCATCCCTTCCTTGGTCCCAAGGTCAGCTCCAGACATGGGCAGGTGAGGGGGTGTAGCAGTGCTTGGATCTGGGGTGGCCTGGAAGAGGCCCTGGCCCCTTTATCTGTCCTTCGTGGCACCCTTTCTCCTCCCGGCAGGCCTGGACTTCTCACCAGATTAACCTCCCAAGAGGACAGACATAGGTAAGGGCATTGTCTCCTGATGGCCCTACTTAAAGTCCCTGAGATACTGGCTAATAGTTCATCAGCTGCTTCTCTTATTCCCAGGCCTTCTCCATGACCGAGCATTTTTACCAGACCATCTTTGATTCTGAGTGTTCAGTCTACACAAGAGGGAAGCACAACGACGCCAAAGAAAGAGAATAGAATTTTTAACCAGACAACTTGGTGCAAGTCCCAGCAGAATTGTTTGCTTGCTATGATCTTGGGCAAGTACCTCCACCTCCCTGGGACTCATTTCACTTGCCTGACTCACAGAGTTATTTTGAGGATTAAGTGAGATAATTCATATAAAAACATCTGATGAAGAGTAACGTATTGTATATGTTCGTTAAAGATTTATTGAGCCCATTTATTGAGTGTTTATTCTATGGCACGTCCTGAGCGGGGACACGGGGGGCCATGGACATTTAAGATACAGCACACACTGAAAGCATTCTGAGGGCACAGTTTGCATAATTATGATTAATAATAAGCTAATATTTGAGGGGGAGCAAGCCCAGCAATGGTGATGAGGGTCTGGGGCCATACAAGATCCTGCCATGATGGTCACCTGGAGGCCGAGGTGTGGGGACAGCCATTTCTTGTTAGTGGCCTGGGAATGTACCCGTGTCCCTTGGAATGAAATCTGGTCCACAGGAGGGAAGAATTCTGGTTTGGGATTTCTATGTCCTGCTCTCTCTCCTGGCATCTACCTCTTGAGATGGCCCTGGATTTTCCAACCATTCTGCTTGGAATCTCCTAACTTTGGGCATCCACTGGGTTTTGATAACTTGGCTCCTGGATATAGGACAGACTCACACACAGTTCCTTGTCTGAAATCCTTGCGGCCTAATGTGTTTCAGAATCAGCTTTGGATTTTAGAAAAGCAATACTGTGCATGTATTTCACATTAAGTAACACCTCAGCAGGATCTGGGCAGCACCCCCAAGCAAACGTGGAATCATCTTTGCAGCGAAACATAGGACTATTTTCCAATAAGCGAGGTCAGTAAAGAGTATAAATAATGTCATGTCACCAAATGAGTTATGATAAAACTTTTGATTTTCAGAGTTTTTTGAGTTTTGGAATTGTGACTAAAGGACTGTGGATCTATAACAGCTTAGCCCTTGGACTCAGTAAATGTGTTTCTGGTTTCCTTCTCATCTAGAAGATTTTATTTTTCTATTTTAATGATTTAAATTAATGCATCCCCAGCCTGGTGCCATGGAGGACAGAAGGCATTTTGGACCCTCTTCTTGGCCTGGGTATCCCTTCCTGACCTACAGCTGTACGTAAGCACCTGTGCACCTTCCCCTCTGCCACTTTTCCAGCCAGAGAGACCCTGCCACTGGATTCTATCAAAAACAAACAAATCAAAAACCAAAAAACAAAAAGGGATTTGGGAAGGGGCCCCTCGTAGCAAAATCACCTTCTTCCCCATGTTATTAGGGACTGACACAGATCACCATTTTAAGAGCTCCTCTGGCTTCAAACGGCATTTGCCACTCCTCATTCACTCCTGCAATCACTTATTTACTTTTTCAATTACTCATTCATTTTCTCACATCTTCCTTTGTTGATTAATTGGTCTCTTCACTCAGTAAAAAATAAGGTCCACAATGAATCCATATCAGACCCAGGGCCAGATCCGGGAAAAAGAAAGGCAAAGGCGACATGTTCTTGCCCTTTGGGGCTCTCAGTCAAGTGGGTAGACAAACCAGAAACCAACTCTTCTGCATGTCAAGACAGAACGAAATTTGGGGGAGGGCATCCAAGCAAGGGGTTGAGGTGGGACAGACTAAGAAGGTGGCTTCCGAAGGCTTTGTGGAGGAGGGCCTTGTGTGGCTCTGAAGATCAATTGGATTTAAATAGGCACAGGAAGTAAGACGGTGGGTAGAACAAGTGGGTGTTACAGATTGGGGGATGTGCACAAACATGGGAGTTTAAAATCATGACACATTTATGGAAAAGTGGAGAGCAGGCTACAAGGGGTAAGTTCAACATCCGTTACACCTCCTAGCATGTCTATAAGAAAGACATTGTCCAACACTTAGGCTGGAGGGGCAGGCATCCCCACAGCTCCCTCTAGGGAAGGTCTTTAGGGAATATCTTTAACTTTTATTCACAAAAAACATTTCTTGGAGCTGAAAGACACCTCAAATAGTTATCTGGTTCTGCCCTGGTTTCAAGCAGGTATTTGCTAACAAAGGTCACTAAGGCAGGAAGTGGTGGAGGGAGGATAGACTTTGACTATGTTAACTCCCCACACCGGTTGTCAAATGAACCACATGGTTTGGGAGGCATTCAGGTGATGTAGACAGAGCATTGTTTGGCTTCTGATTCTAGCTCTGCTATCTTTCAGCTGAGACCTCTGGCACGCAGTTTAACCCATCCAAGCCTCAGATAGGTTGTTGGGGGAGACAGGCAAAATTCTATGTAAAGCTCCAGGCAAACAGGATGTACTAGGGATCATCTCAGATGTAAAGCCAACGAGGACAGTGATTTTTATCTGTTTGCTATTTCCCCAGGACCTATAACTGGTGCGTAGTAAGAGATCGACAGATACTTGTGGAACGAATGAAGGACTCCTGTTCTCATCTTTTAATGGCTAATGCATCCTTTTCTTGTTGTTTTCTTTTTTAGTCATTTACACATACTTTCCCATGTTCAATTCTATGTGTGTTCTTTTGAGTTTGAGGTATGAGATTGGCACCAAGCCCAAGGCAGGCAGATGGTATAGGAAAAGATTCATGATGCATTTACTGACCAGGCTCAACCCAAGAGCTGGATGGACCCATTACCAATTTGAAAAAGTTCAACTCCATTTGAATGCTTCAAGGAGAGAAGTATGTAAAGCAAAATAATTATCAAAAGGAAAGAATTGTGAACAATCTGGGTATAAAAACTCAAACTTATCTCTTTATCACAAGTACCTGACACCGTGATAAGTACCCAATGAATGTTGACTGGGAGAACAGAAACGAAAGAAAGAAAGGAATGAATGAGTGAGTGAATGCATCAACTAACAAGAGGAGAAGAGAAGGAAACTGTCATTCAGTGCCCATCATATGTCAAATTCTGTACTGGTTGTTTAAATCTATTCATTAATAAAAATGTGGTGAGCCAGTGTTTCCCTCTTCATTGATAAATTCATTTTTTCTTGTATCAGACGTTTATTGAATTCCCAAAATTTAAGATGGGTAAGTCTTTTTCTTTGCTAAAGTCTATGAGGGACATATGGAAACAAGAGAACCTTGGAGGTGACTTAAAAACCATACATGTGACTCAGAAACCTCACTGAAATGGCTTAAATTGAACTTTTTTTTTTTCCTGAGGAAGATTCACCCTGAGCTAACATCTGTTGCCAATCTTCCTCTATTTTGTATGTGAGCTGCTGTCACAGCACGGCCACCAACAGACAAGTGGTGTAGGTCCATGCCCGGGAACCAAGCCTGGGCTGCTGAAGTGGAGTGCACCAAAATTAACCACTGAGCCACTGGGACTGGCCCCAAAATGAACTTTTTTAACTTGTTTTGTTAAAAACTTGTCTTTAGTGGAAGACTAGAATGTAGTAGACAGTCAGATTATGGGTTAATAGGTTCAAGCCAATTGGGAGATGAATATACACCCTTCAAGATGGAGAAGAAGGAAAAGTTTGTCTCCCTGTATTCCACGTTTTTGGAAGAATCAACACAGTTTTCCCAAGCTAGAAACACAAAGACACATCTTTGGTAGTACGTCCTGAATCATTCTTTATTCCTCTAAGTTAAAATCCTTCTTTATTCTCTTCATTACCTTTGGTGGATTGATATTTAATTAAAAAAATGATACATTTTTAGCACCTTAATAAATAATATTATACATATATAATGGATTCTAAATACATACAATATTCAATTTCTTACCCTAATACTGATATTTTCTCATAAAATAGAAAAGCATCACCTACCACAAACTTGTTTTGACTGTGGTTTCATCATCCTCCATGACACTGACTCTTTCTTTACAGTTAACACGATAGCAGAAAGGCACCTTCCTAGGGTGGAAACCACTGGTTGGAAAGAAATGATGAAGAGGCAGCCTGCAACATTCCCATTCGTGAAACTCTGCGACCCCCAGCATCTGTCTCTGCCCACACTTCCAGGCTCTGGGAGGTTAGCAAGAACAGTGTCTCAAACAAATAATCACTCTTCTCTACTTCTTCCTCTTCTGGTGCTGTCAGCTCCCATGCACCTGTGGAAAGTCTTGCAATAAAAGAGTGATTACTGTGATTATTTAGAGACATATAACATGCTAATAAATAAACATTTTATTTAATATTTGTATAGTATGTTTTCACTGTTGTTGCTGTTTATATCAATCACTGACATTTATTTAAAATGAAGTTGGATTATAATTGTGTAAAGGCATTTCCAAAATTGCATTTTGGTTCCTGTGCACACAGAAGAGCTATTAAGTGTTAACATCTTTTCATGGATTAGTGTCCTAACGCCAAGAATGAATGGAAGCTGGCTGTGATCTGGGGGAAGAAGTTTGCCAATACTTGCAGGCTTGGTGGGTGCCCTAGGTGTTACAGTCCAGAGAAAGGGTGAAAAGAAGAAAGAGAGGTATCCTAAGAGAAAAGGGAGAAGCTGGAGGAAGGGAGTTGGAGACAACCTCCCTTAGAGCAAATCCAGCTTACCTCACTTAGAAGCAGGCCCTGCTTTGAAGACTATTTGTAAAACCCATGTCCCAGGCCAGATCACTCCTTCCCACACACGAGGGCTACTTCACTCCTCCCTGCAGACCCAGCTGTAGCCCAGGGCCTGGAAACAAACCTGTTCATCATCAGGGGCATTTGAGGAACTAGCTAATCAACACTGGGCTAGGTGTCAGCAGGGGTACTACAATGTTCCTCTGATCAATGACATGTGCCCTATCAGCTAAAGACTTGGTTGATTGGTTAGATGGGCTCTGGTCTTGTATGCCACTCACTTATCCAGTAAATAATTATTTAGTACTCACTACTGTGCCATCTGCTATTCTAGGTCCTGGGGGTCCAGTAGAACCTTCACATATCCTCTCCATAGAGCTTACAGTCTACACAGTGAAGCAGCATGAAGTGAAGAATTATACAGTGGTTGTGCTAAGTGCAACAAAGTGGAAGCCCAGTAAGGCATGGAGTGTGCAGAACGGGAGGTCGAGGAAGGGTTTCCTAAGGAGATGGCATTTCATGACAAATCTCAGTGACAAGTGGGGATTAGCTAGGGGAAGGGTGAGAGGGAAAGTGCACCAGGAAGAGAAAA